CCACTGAGCCACCTTCCCAGCCCCCCTTTTTTTTTTTAAAAAAAAAAAAAAAGTATTTAGAGCCTTTTGCCTGGGGACTGGCCTTACACCTTATCTTCCTACTTTTGCCTCCTCTATTGCTGGATGTGCTCCTACCATGTTCAGCTAGTTGGTTGAGATAAGATCTCACTAATTTTTTTTTGCCAGGGTCAGCTTCAAACTGCAATCCTCCCAAACTGTTGAGCAGTTAGGATTACAAGTGTGAGTCACCAGGCCCAGGTAGAAAATTGGGCTTTTTAAAATGAGCTGTCTGAGGGTGTAGCTCAGTGATAAAGTTGATAGCGGGGCGTATCCCAGCTCCTGCAGCAACTGCTATTGCAGAGAAGTGAGAGGGATCTTAGGATAGCTTGATGCCCTGTCTGGCATTCCACTCCAAGGGCTGCTCAGAGAGTATTTGGAGATGGGCCCTTTAAGAGATCATCTAGAGTTGGCATGCTTAGTAAGCTGGGAAAAAATTTGAATTCTCAGAGCTAGCCCTGGGGAGAAAGGCTGAGGATTCTGGAAAGGAGGAACTCACTTTTTGACTTGGTGGCCCAGCCTGAGGCTGGTCATAACTATAGCACTTGTGAAAACTGAAGCCAAGCAACATCCCCAGGGTAACCTTTCTCCAAACCTTTAGCAAGACCTGCTCACACCATGGCTGCTGGCAAGCAAAATGGAGCAGCTGGGCTCCAGGATAGACCCAGAGCAGGGCAGGCCCACTGGGAGGAGAGGTGGCCGTGGGGAAGGAACCCAGGAACACACAGCCTGAGCCCTTTGGATGCAAAGGTTAACGGAAGGACAACTCCCCAGGGCTGAGGACTTACTCACCCACATCCGGGTTACATTACCGGCTCTTCCAGAGCCCAAGTCCCATTTTGCTGCTGGGTGGGGTTGGGGTGGGGGGGATGGAGGAGGACATTCCAGTACTAACCTCTGCAGCTCTGCCTTGTCATCTGGGGACCAGTCAAGCCCCAAATCTCAAAACAAGGCCAATGAGAGGCAACTCGTCTTTCCTTTCCTTTTTTTTTTAATTAAATTTTTTAATTATTATCTTTATGTAGTTGTACAATGAAGTTTCCATTCTACAAAACAGTATATGAGTACAAGGTGTCTGACAACATTGTCACCCGTCACTCCTAACCCATCCCTTCTGTCACTTTTTTAAAAATTGAGATTAGGTGATTACATACATTTCACATATTTCACAGTATTGTGGAACAGTGAGACTTAAAGTCACAAACACATTTTAACCTTCACAGGCACATCGTCATTATCATGGTCTGTAAAGTTCGTGAATTCTATGAGCTTTGACAATGCAAATTATTTCTTCCACATCAGGTGATGATTACTTTTCTTTCCTTTTGCTTAGTGTCAGCTGGTCCCTCTTCCCCTCTCATTCCTCCCTTCCCATCGCTGTCCTTGGGTTGCTTAGTTCTTTTTCTTCTATGTCCAGTGCAGCTGATGGGCCCCTTTGTTGTATGTTGTTCCTTTTCCCACTTATTCTGTGTCCTCCTCCTGGCTTCCCTCTGTTGCATACAGTCAAGCCCCAAAGCTCATAACAAGGTCAATGGGTGGCAGCATGTGCTGGGGCTTCAACTCAGGGCCAGGTGGCTATGTGCCCTTACTTGGCTTTATCTGCCTCAGGCTGGTGCTCTACCACTTGAGCCACACCCACACTTCTGACTTTTTGCTGGTTTAGTTGGAAATAAGAGTCTCACAGATTTTTCTGCCTGGGTTGATTTTGAACCTCTATCTTCAGGTCTTAGCCTCCTGAGTAGCTAGGATTACAGGTAGGAGCCACCAGCGCTCAGAGGGCTGGCAGCAGATCTGAGGCATTGTGGTCTGACTTTGGAGGACTGGTTGGAAGCTGGGCAGATGTCATTGTGTGGATGGTGAGGAGCTGGGAGGGGAGCCTGGGAGGGCCGGCACAGCTGGGAAGTAGGCCCCAACTATTTATGGTGATGGAGTCAGAAGTCACTGCCTGTGAGTCAACCTGGTTTTATGCTTCATAAATTTCCTCTGTTCATTTTCAAAAACTTAACAGCATAACTACTCAAGGATAAAATGATAGTAAATTTAGTGTTTTAAGATCTTTTTTTTTTTTCTCTTTTCAGTTATAGGGCTTGATCTCAGGCCCTAGGCACTGTGTCTGAGCTCTTTTGCTCAAGGTTAGTGCTCTACCACTTCTGGTTTTCTGGTGGTTAATTGGACATAAGAGTGTCACAGACTTTCCTTCCTGGGCTGGATTTGAACTGTGATCCTCAGATCTCAGCCTCCTGAGTAGCTAGAATGACAGGTGTGAGCCACCAACGCCTGGTTTACCTTTAAGATCTTAATTGGCTTAATTTGTGATTCTAGAAACAGGCAGTGTTCCCTTTCATAAAATAAAGTGTTCTAATAAGGTAATCAAAGGCTGACACACTAGGTAGGTGAGTCATTCCAGAACTGTCCCCTGTACCATCAGGACAGGCCACAGAACAGCTAAAACATGACTAGTTAACACCAGACTGCTCTTGTGTAAAGATTAAAGCAAAAGAAACTTCATTATTATGCTCACTGAAATGGGGCTCCCTGGGAAATTTGGCTAGTATTTCTTTCTTCTGTTTTCTCAAAAGATTAGGTGTGGTACTTTGGAACTTCAGAATGAGTGACACTATTTTGATTTTTGGTCAGTTTCATGGCTGTCTAAGATAGGTACTTAGTCCAAAACAGTGATTTCCTGTAATTTCTGTTGAACATAACTCCCCTATAAACATGCAGGAAGCCCTTGTCAAGGATAAATCTAGTAAAAAACTAGTGGCTCACACTTGCAGTCCTAGCTACTCAGGAAGCTGAGATGTGAGGATTGTGGTTTGAAGTCAGCCCAGACAGAAAAGTTTGTGAGACTCCAATTAGCCACCAAAAACTAGAACTGTGGCTCAAGTGGTAAGGTCAGCCTTGAGATTGAAAAAGCCAAGTAAGAATACAAGATCCTGAGTTCAAGCCCCAGTACCAACACACACACACACACACACACACACACACACACACACACACACACACACACACACACACACACACACACACACACACAACAAAGGCCTGATGCTGGTGACTCACAGCCTGCAATCACTACTCAGGAGGCTGAGATCTGAGGATTGTAGTTTGAAGGTAGTCCAGGCAGGAAAGTCAGTGAGACTCTTATCTCCAACAAACTATCCCCAAAAAGCTGGATGTAGAGTTCTCGCTCAAGTTGTAGAGTGGTAGCTTGAGCAAAAAGAAGCTCAGAGACAGTACCTAGGCCTTGAGTGTAAGTCCCAGAACTGGCACACAAAGAAAAAAGAAAAAAAGATTTGAATCTAGCTTACTATGAGAAAGCAAGCTGAGGTAATGCCAGTCTGGAGGAAACTGGACTGGAAGACAAGCAGTGAAGAGGGGTTCTGGGAGAAGATGGGTGAGCTAGAAACAAGATGGGTTGCTATGAATACATAGCACTCGCTGTAACCTTGGGTCCGACTTCTCTATCAGGCAAAAGGCATTTCTGTCTCCATGAGGAAAAAGTTGTTTGGAAAACATAGCCATCTTTTTCTACACATGAATTAGAGCTTTCCAGAACTCAGCCCAATCAGTTGTAGAAAGTAGGCTAAATGCAGAAATGTCCCTTAGACGATCTTGTGACTTTCAGGCAGGTTGCTCTGTAACGCTCCCAGTCATGTGGCTATGAACGGGCATGCAGAAATCTTGTTTGCTGAATTTGTAATTTTAGCTTTTTTTTTCTTTTTTTTTTTTTTTAATTTAATTTTATTTTATTTGTGAGCATACTGTACAGAGGGGTTACAATTACATGGGCAGGATAATACGTACATTTCTTACCAAGCATTGCAGCCTCCTCCTTTGTTTACCCTTCACCTCCCTTCCCAGCCTCCCTCCTCCCCCAGCTTTTTTTTTTCTTACGAAAAGAAAGGAAGGGACTGGATATTGTCTTCACTGAAGTCAGAGAAGTAAACAAGACAACAGAGACGGGTTGGGGGGGGACAGCATAATGGGTGAAGGTTATGAAGGGAAAGAAACCCCACATAGTGAAAATAAAGAGAGCCATGGAGGACAGCCTGCTGACCTCCTTCCTTAGGATTCTCCTACTGATCTTGTATCTGGTCTCATTCCCACCGGTGTGCCACCACAAGGGTCATTGAGGTAACACTGGGCTCAGAACATTATAGGGAAGCTAAGCCCTGTCGTCAGGGGTGAGAGGAAATGCCAAAGCCTTTTGGGGGACAAGTTGGCATTGCACAGCCACATATTAATAAGGAATTTTTTTTTTTTTTTGGGTCCGGTCATGGGGCCTAAACTCTGGGCCTGGGCGCTGTCCCTCAGCCCTTCAGCTCAAGGCTAGTGTTCTACCACTGGAGCCACAGTGCCACTTACGGGTTTTTTCTTTTTGCTTATGTGGTGCTGAGGAATCGAACCCAGGGCCTCAGGCATGTAAGGCAAGCGCTCTACCACTGAGCCACCTTCCCAGCCTGACCGTGAAACTCTTATCTCCAGTTAACCACCAGAAAACTAGCAGTGGTACTGTGGCTTAAGTGGTAGTGCACTTGCCTTGAGCTGAACAGCTCAGGGACAGCGCCCAGGCCCAGAGTTCAAGCCCCACAACCAATATATATATATTTGAAATTACATGTTTTTGACCTAACAAGTCCATTTTGAGGACTTTGAAGACTGTAATTGCAAATATGCATACAAAGATGGATACAAAAGGTGTTTGTGGAAGACCCTCTTGGTTTCTACCTTATAGAATTTTCATATTTCCTCTCGACAATGGGACTGGAGCTGGTGCAGGTTATTGGGATACTCTTACCATGCTGAGGGAAATTGTGCCCTTCTCCTGCTCCAGGGTCTAGCAGGAGGCAGTTTTCCAGGTTAATCAGGTGGTTCAGTAATGTCACTGAGGACCTAGAATCTTCCCACCTTTCTTTTTTCTGTTTCTTTCTCTCCATTCATGTTAAGTAGGAAATGTGCTATGGTCACAACAAAGTTGGAAGGAGACACACCTCACTCAACAGGATAAAAACCCAATCATCACATTTCAGAAGCACAGAGACTTCTCAATCTTAGCACATTGGCAGTCTCTCCTAGTGGTCACAAGCTGGCCTCCATAACACCAAGTTTTGTGCTATGAACTTACAGGAAGAAGGTCATAATGGGATGTTTTCTCTTTTGACTGACTGACTCTCTGTTGCTCCTCTCTGTCTCTCCTTCCATTTTTCCCTTCCTTCTTCTCTTTTATAATCAAAGAGAAAAGTCTTACCTAATAGCCACAAACTTACACTTGTATTTTTTCAGCAAAAGTGAGTCAAGTGACTACCTTGGACCAGTTTCTTTGTGTTGTTTGTTTTTTGAGATAGGGTCTTGCTATGTAGCTCAGCTGGCCTAGAAATCACTGTTCTCCTGCTTTGGCCTTTTCAGTGCTGGGATTACAGGTGTGTACCAGTACTCCCAGTTGTAGACCAGTTATTGACAATGATGAACTTTGGATCAATTATTCTTAATCTTCTTCATTTGGGAACACTGATGAGACTTGTTCACAAGGAAGAACAGCAAAGGTAAGTAACCAACTATGACCCATAGCTCTTTAGTTTGTATTCTCTTTAATGACAGTTGTTATAGTCTGATCTTTCTTTTCAGTAATGTTTATGTGTTTGTTGTTATATACGCCTGTGTGTGTTCATTACAAAGAATATAGGATACATAAAAGAAAAAAACAAACACTTGCATGTTTGTGAATCAGGTGTATGGGTTACTATTCTCCAGAGAAACCAAGCCAATGGGAGATATGTGTGTGTGTGTGTCTGTGTGTGTGTGTGTGTATGTGTGTGTGTGTGTGGAAAGAAATTTATTATGAAAGATTGGTTCACATGATTATGGAGGCTGCAAAGTCCTGAGATTAGCTATCTGCAAGCTGGAGGCTGTGATGTGCTGAGTGTTAAGAGATATTTGGTGCTGATACCTAGTCCTGGCACAAGGCCCCTCATCTCTTACAATTTCCCGGGTGATAAGAGCATCTTTTGTTCTGTTGGGGTAACTTGATAGAATCTGGATGGGTCTGGTCCCCAGAAAGATTGTGTCTTGATCTCAGTCTCCCCTACCATCCTCCAGGAAGGGAAGAGAGACAAAAGAAGGACTTAATAGCTGATCACGCCAGTGTAATGAAGCCTCCATTAAAATTCCTGAAGTTTTGGGGCTTGCAGGTGTTTGATGGGCAAGCGGCATGCTGGACAGGGCATGGAAACTCCTCCTCCTACTTGCATACCTGGATTCTCTGTAATATCATTTTGAATAGGTCATTGTCAGTGCTTTCCCTGTTGTGTTAGCTGCTCTAGCAAATTAATTGAGCTGAAGGGCTTCAGAGCAACACCTGGTTTATAGCCAGTTGGTCAGACTTACCAACACAACCTGGAACTTGTAACTGGCATCTGAAGTGGGTCAGGCTTACAGGATGGAGTCCTCCACTAGTGAGACTTCACCCTAACTCCAGTAGTTAGTGCCAGAATTTAGTCCAATGGTTGGTGTCTAGTTATCTGATGAGAATTGGTTGCTGGTGGGGTTTTGGCCACAGGTTTTGGCGATCAGAGGGGAAGGATTATAGTGAGTGGTGTGAGTATGTGAGAGTAGGGAAAACAGTTTGGGTTTTCCAGTGTCTGAGCCCCAGGAGAGTGAGTGGTTTCTGGTTCAAACTAGAAGGTCTGAGAACCGGTCAGCCCTGGGTGCAATTTCAGCTTTAATCCCAATGCTGGAAGACTGAGGGTGGACCGTGTGCGTGAGAGGTGTGAGGCCTGAAGGGTCGGAGCTGATTGTGTTAAATCTCAGTTTGAATCTGAAGGCCAGGAAGCTGAGACACTGGTAGCCAAGGGCAGGAGAAAATGGAGGTCTTAGAGTTAGTAGAGAGTTCATTTGTTCTTCCTCTTTTTTTGTTCTGTTTGGGCCCTCAGTGGATTATTGTGGTGCTCATTCACATTAGTGAGGGGTATCTTGCTGTACACAGTCTAGTGATTCAGATGCTGTCTTCTGGAAATACCCATATAGACACACATCTAACAATAATATTTATTTTAACCAGTGATCTGGGCAGCCGCTAGCTTAGTCAAGTAGACACAGACACATAGAATTAACCATCATAGAATGTACAAGTATATATGACCATATAGGGCTGGGAATGTGGCTCAGTGGTAGAGTGCTTGCCTCCCATGCGTGAAGCCCTCCCTGGCTTCAATTCCTCAGTACCACATAAACTGAAAAGCCAGAAGTGGCACTGTGGCTCAAATGGTAGAGTGCTAGCAGTGTCCAGGCCCTGAGTTCAAGCCCCAGGACTGGCAAAAAACAAATAACATACACACTTACAAATACTGTGTATGTATCTATGTATGTAGACACATATATTATAAATTTGTAGCCATATTTTATTTATTATCATTTTTATTATTGTAATTCTGGGAAGTGGAGCTGTGGCTCAAAGTGGTAGAGCACTAGCCTTGAGTGAAAGAGCATAGGGACAGTACCCAGGCCCCGAGTTCAGGCTCCATGACTGATAAAACAATAGGAAGAAATAAAAATCCCATCTTCTAGAGATACTGCCAGAATATTTACAGTTAAAAAATAAAAATAGGGCTGGGAATGTTGCCTAGTAGTAGAGTGCTTGTCTAGCATGCACGAAGTCCTGGGTTCAATCCCTCAGTGCCACATAAATGGAAAAACCCAGAAGTGGCACTGTGGCTCTACTGGTAGAGTAGTAGCCTTGAACAAAAGAAGCTCAGGGACAGAGCCCAGGGAAAGAGGAGGATCCCACACATCCATCCCAGGGGACCACGCAGAGGCAGGCAGGCACAGGAGAAAGATTATTATAAGGTTTATTAGAGGAGCCATAGTTCCCCCAAGAGGGAGCACATGGCCTCTGTCCCCATCCAGGTAGCAGGAGGGTCTGGGGGATAGGAAGTGAGGTAGAGGGGAGCAGGTAGAGGGGGCCAGCTGTATGACAGGTACTCCAGGAATGGGAGGGGGTCCCCAGTCTGGGTGGAACTGAGGACCAAAGGTGAGCATAATACTAACTAACACTAGGCCCTGAGTTCAAGCCCCAGGACTGGCAAAAACATAAACAAACAAACAAACAAATAAAAATTGTAATTCCAGGTGTAAGGTCTGCTTCTGGATGGCGAGCAGACTTCACCCTCCTCACAGCAAATTCTCTACCCTGTACCTGCGTTACCTAGGCAACTGGCACACCTGGAAGAGATTACGTCTGGAATCGATGCGGCCACACCTTTCCCCGCCGCTACCCTAGATAAGGCCTAGCCCAGGGCCAACGCTCTCTTTACCAGGCCTTTCTCAGCCCTGTGGAGTGCTAACATGGCCTGGTGCCAGCCAGAACGATGAATAAACCTACCCCTTACCTGAATACCACATGCGTGGTGGGTTCTTACTTGGCTACCTCTCTCTAAAAACCTAACACTGGGGAGCCAACCAGGACCTCATGCATGCTAGGCAGTGTTTGCCCACTGAACTCTACCCTCAGTTTAATGTCCTACCTGTTTTCATTTAACATGTTATGACGTTCTTGCTATTCCTCTCTTGGTCCCAGCCTCCTCTTTACACATGTCCAAAGTTAGGAAAGAAACAGAGCACATCACAACTCTCAATGAAATGATTAATGAGATGACTTGGGACGCTTCTTATTTCCTGACGCTTAACTCATCTCTACATAGGTCTTACCATCCATCTTACATTCTCCATAGGGAAGTATCCTCCCAGGTTCCTGGGCCATCTTGATACCAATGTAAAACAAAAGTATATGAGAAAAAATGGGCACAGGCCTTGACTCTGGGGTGACTCCAACCTTTCGGAGCATCCTGGCCCCGGCATGCAGGCCCCAGGATATCTGTGTTTCTCTAGGGTCTGTTGTGCAGGGTGGTACATGCTCGGTGCTCTATCTTCACAGAGCACTGCCCATCCCTCCATGTGCCATTTGTTGGCCAAGAAGAAGGCACACATGGGAGAGTTTGTGTTGCCAAGCTGAACTTTGGGACCTCCAGATGAAAAGCCATTTGTCCCTAACATCATTTCCTTGATTATCCAAGGTGTCTAGAGCACATTGTCACCTTGGGTGGCCTTACTTTAGCGAAACCATTGTCTACCACAGTGCTGTGGAGTATTGGTGTTCATTATAACTAAATTGCTGTCATGGAATTGCCTAGCGCTTATTGGCAGTAAGTAAGGATTTGAGCTATTATCTTAGGACATTGGACTCAAAGTTCAGAGGAAGGGGAACAAAGATCAATGAGATCCTTTCTTCCAATCCTGTTCCTCCAGCCTATGAAAGTTGAGTATTGTCTTTTATTATGTGATTGATAGGTGGGCAGGGGTGGGCCTTTTCTGGGTGAGTGAGGGAGATTGAGTTACTCTGTAGTCCACGCTGGCCTCAAACTCATAATCCTCCTGCTTCAGCCTTCTGACTGCTGGGATTCCAGATGTGGAACACACACAGAGTTTTGAGTATCAACCTTTTCGTGATGGAGAGCCATGAAAGGGTCTAAGCTTAACTTTGTGAGGACGCCCTTGGCAGTGTGAATAGACTGGATGTATTTTCCACGGAGGATTATGAGAATTTCTCCCCCACCGTGTGCTGCTGCGTGACCTTGCCATTCCCTCACCTCTGTGAGTTCTGCCCTTGAATCTGGCTGCCCTTACTGACTTCCATGTGAGGTTGCTGGATTCAGCAAATAAAAATACAGGTTGCTGAGTTAAATTAGAAGTAAAGATAAACAGTGAGCGAGTTCTGCTATCTGTATGAAACTAATAGAACAAGGGCAAGGTGATCCTCATGACTGAAGGCTAGGTTGGAAGAAGCCCCAAGCTTCTGCCTTGCTCTCTTGATGGCACACTGTTTTAGAAGACAGAAGTGATGTCATGAGAAGCCCAAGCTAGCTCTGGGAGGCACCACTCTCTGTTTGACTCTTCCTAGTTGAGGCCTAGATCTGATGATTGAGAGAATACCACACAAGGCTTACACAAATTCCTAAAGTATATATCTTAAGATCTGCAGAAATGTAGATA